ATTATTTACGAGCTTCGGTTTATATAATACTAGCTGGTACCCGCCACTTTGTTCGCGTGGAATTTGAAAACTGCCTTAGTGGGTTCGATACCCGGACCGGGCAAATATTTAAAGGTTTTTCTGAAAGGAAAAATAGCCTAAGTTACTCCTTATACAGACAGCAATGTGGTAGTAAAATATTATCAAAAACGGTAAAGCCGTTTAGCAGATTATCCGGAACAAATAGACAGACAGACAAAATTTTGGTTTTTAGGCATAGGTATTGTGCAGATAACCGTGTGAGCATGAAAAAAACCTATTACTTTGACATAACAAACATACACTTCAATTTTATTTGTTTGTATAGAGTATAGATTAGCTGTACCCTGCCACACCTCACAGTAGTACATTGTGGTTGTTTTGATGAGAAATGAGGAACAAAACTGACACGAAAAATAGAAAAAAATATACTTTGAAGTGGTTTGTATATCGTTTTAAAATTTGAGCTTCATCGGTGCAAAACTTTTTGAGTTTTTGAAACGTACACAAACCAGCTGAACATTTTTATATAAATAGACAGATCATAGTCCGATGCAAACTTAATGGCCGCTCTGAAGTTAGCTGCGAAAGCAGGTATGCCCGACAAGCCGTCTCGACTTTACGTAGACAGGAACGGATGTAACTCATACACTAAAAGGCATGGGTGTCGTGTAGACATGGAAATTATCACTTTTTGTAAATCATATTCATTTGGTGAAATGATTTATTTATTTAACATAAAGCTTACCAACTAAAATACATACTAGATATTTTACAAGAAAACATTCATACAAGTATATATGTGTATATTTTTAAATTAAATTAAATTTGACTCGCCTGTTGGTCTAGTGGTTAGTGACCCTGACTGCTAATCGAATCTGAGCACAGCATTATCCATAAGTGTACATACATGTAGGTTTTAAAATTTGAACTGCGTTAACAAGGAAATTATGGTTAGAAATAAGACTAGAACAAGAATACATATATCATACATAATTAATTTACTTACTATAATGCCACACTATACAAGGTGTAAAGGACATCGTACCGAATACTAAAATAGTGTATTCAGACCATGATTCTGAGTCGAAAATCATTGGCTTTTTTTTTCATTTTTCTGGTAAAAATGATAAAAAATTATATCACAATGAGTAGACAGAACATTTTACTGAAAACAATTTAATAAATACCAAAAAACTACAATGTAATTAATCAAACAGCCGAAGCGCGCAGGGCCTCCCCTCCGGCCGCGATTTTGTGTTAGTGTGCATAGTCTGTTTGCACGGAATACACATGTAGTTATTACCTTTGTGCGATACGTACGGGGAATGAACTTAAATTTTGACAGCTGATTGACAGCTGAGGGAGTTAAAGTATTTTTAACTAAGTCAACCAAGTTAGTCAAAGTGGATTTATTTTTGGTGAAACCATGCTGATTTCCAGAAACTATAGTCTTGACGTGCCAACTTATAAAAGGACATACTAACGATTCAAATACTTTAGCTACTATAGGTAGTTTACTTATTGGCCTATAATTACTAATATTCGCCCTTTTGCCACACTTGGGTATAGGTACAACTATGGCCTCTTTCCAATGTTCTGGGAATGTTCCTTTAGACAGGGATCTATTATAAAGAATATGAAGAGGCTACGTCAACTGATCTGCACATTCCTTATAGAACAGAGGTGGTATTCCATCACATCCCGATCCCTTAGATGTAGCCAGCTTAGGTTTTTTTCGATACTACATTTAGATACTCGTGTGGAGGTGAAAACTGACTGCTATTCGATTTTGGACTGTACACCAATGCGAAGTGTTTTGCAAATAAGTTAGCAATACTTTCTCCGTCGTTTGCAGTTCGATTACGAAGCGTCATTTGCTTGGTCATAGACTGATTATTACGTTTATCTTTAATTTATTTCCAGAAGTATTTTTTTTTGACGTTTTCTATATGCTTATGGTGTAAAGACTTAATAGTTTTATTTGTTCTATCTTTGAGTATGGTATACTCGTATTCGTCACGATTATTATTGTATTTTTTCATAACACGCCAAAATTTTTGTTTCTCTTTTAACAGCATAACCAAATTCTTACTGTACCAACAAGGATATGCACTTTTATTTGAGTTTTGTAATGGGATTAAGTCACGAATAATACTATTCACTATTATATAAAATCTATCTGTAGCCTCATCAACAGATAATGTACAAGATAGTTCCTTATTAAACTCAATATCTGCAATTCGCTTTCGTATTTTATCGTGATCAGCTTTATAATGTTGGTATTTAAGATTATCCAAATTACGAAGCATAGCCGGAAGTTTAAGTTGTATGTTAATTTCTAAAGACGAATGGAAACTATCGACGTAGCAGCCGATACCTGTATAGAGTTTGGTGTATTAGAAATTACCAAATTTAAAATTGTATCAGGAATATTTTTAATATTATTGTACTAATTTAAATTATTGCTGTATAAGACATTCAATAATAATATGTAAAAAGTACTCGACTGCATGTCTGCTTCAACATACGGTAAAGATGGCTGTTTTATCCAAGTAACAAAACTCAGATTAAAATCGCACATAAATCCTCACAATTTGACTGAAATGGGTAGTTTCGGTAGGCTCTAATTGACTTCAATATTGTGATGAGCACACCCCCTCCCTCGTTACCTGCTGAAAAAGTTCCTGACTGTCTATCTTGTCTAAAAATCTGTTATTGCATACAACATAAAAAAAAAAAAAAAAAAAAAATATTAAAAAAACTTCTCGTATTCTGATAGTATATATTTAGACTATTGAATTTTAAAAGCAAAAAATACATTACCGTTATCATTCATCATAAAAAAAGGGATTACAAATGGTAATAAAATATCTATACAAATTCCTAAGGCTATTTGAGCCCCTTTCGAGTGTCCATACTTGTTACAAATTGAGCAGGCGCACTTTCTTCTTTTCTTAGAAATCTTGCCGTTTAGAACCCAAATAAATTTGTAGTTCTACTCTTTGGCCTCGATCCTGGTGGGAGCATGCAATGGCTTATTCGCAGGAGTAAGGTGCTCACTCACGTAGACGGAGATTCTTTGTCTCTATAGCCAAGAACATTGGTATTTAATTTATTCTTAGGGTTTGCACGATTGTCGCCGTCGTGTGTTATGCGGCTGACACCGTGAGGCAACCCTGAGGGCCACGGCCGGGGTTGAGCAAGTCGTAGAGCGGATCCGCCGTCTCCTTTTGCGAGCAAGTTATGCTTGCAAAGGAGATGGCAGAGCAGGATCGGGAGAGGTTTAGAACTCTCCCAGCCCGCCAAGCCTGGAAATGGGCCAGGTACCGCAGACGACTCGGGCGCCGGAGATCACAGAACGCTCTTCTTCCTCCATAAGCACAGGCCTGGGGGTGAGGCCATCTATTACCCTAGCAGAGGCAGACCGGTGTGGCGGCGAGAAGCGTTGCGGAGCGCGCGTGCCCTTTTTTTGAGCACCAAGGGAACATGGAGGTTCCCACACCTTAGTGTCATCTACCCGCCGTAGATGCCCCGAGGATGTAGGTACGTCGGGACCAGGGATTTCCTTTATAGGGTACACCCGGCTACTGGTACCCGAGACGGCGTGCGGTTTTTAGTCGGTTCGTGTCCGACATAGCCAGATAGTGGTATCTGAGGGGATTTCCGCACAGAAAAAAATTGCTCTCAATAGATTGTCGCGCTTTAACTTGCTAGATAGTTTACAAATCACTGCTTTAATGATGTAGGGTTTTCCTTTAGAACACGAGTGCACCCAATAATTTCGCTTTCAGATACAAGATAGGACTTTGCCCCGCATCTTGTTCCATTTGAATGAGCCTCGACTCTATATCCTTTATTTTTATTTGGAGGGAGTTGTTTCCGTTACGCAGACGTTTTGCTTCCTCGGCATATGTTTTTAAAGTGACAGTAACTTAAACATGTTGAGAGCTCAAGAATTTTAGTGATTCTCCAAAGTGTCGGATTTCTTGTCGTATTGTTGTAAATTCCTCAGTGATGGCATTGCATATCTTGGACCTAATAACATTAGCGATTTCTGAACGTACAACAAACTTTGTAAGGTCCGTAATATATGGCGCCTGGTGGCAGTATTATCACAATCCGCAACTGTGTTAGTTGGACCACATGACTGCGTAGGGGTTACGTTGTTGTTATCTCTAAGTTGTGTTTTAGTACAGGGTGGAAATTTTCAATTCCGCTGTTTATTGTGATTTTCAGCTGAAATATTTACGCACAAATAGTGGTACTGCTTGCTACAAGATGGATTTGAACAAACTATTTTTTCACTATGTTTATGTTTGTGTATGTGACAGTTATGGTTACTCATTTTAAATTTCTTCGCAACTATAAATAAAGTTTAAAGACAAAAATAATAAATATACAAAGATTTATCGCAATGCAGCTGGGATTCGAACTGACGACCAATTACTTCCTAGGACATAAATTTAATTTACTGAGCCATATACACTTTCAAAGCATACGCAAAAATGATGATCCTATTGTAAATTTTGAATTGTAGTTTTTAGAATAGGTATTTAATAACTTGCTTTGAAAGCCAGTCAATTTCACAACAATGAACTGAATTTTGTTTGTAATCAGTGCTTATATTTCACGGTAAAAGTTTATCACTGTTACACTATTCGATAGTATTTAATGTTATTCACACGTTTCAACACAATCACTGAATTTTTAGCTACTTAAAAAGGCCGGCTCAACTGGAGTAATACCACGGCCTCACAAAAAGCTGGTGTTAAGCAATTTGTTCTTTGTTTTTCACCGATACTATATTTTACTCAGCAGCCTGCGGTTAGCTCTTCTTTATACATTTGTGCTGCTTTTGTAGTATAAAATATTTTGTTACTAATATACTTATTCTTTAATATTATTATTATTTGTGTAATATGATGTAGGTTGTATGAAGTAAATACAATTGTACTAATAATTACATTGTTAATTGCCAGAACGTGGCGAATGTCAGCCTCCACGGACAGACGATGCATTTCTGTTGCGATTCTTAAGAGCACGAAGGTCAATACCAGCGCGGGCGCATCGATTGGTAAGTAAACGAAGAAAAAAATATACAATAAGACAAATAATCATTTGATTGGTCTAGTGGTTCATGACCATGACTTCTAAGCGTGAGTTCAATTAGCAACAAATAATGTGATAATAAAAAGGATCATTTGTTCTGTATCTGGGTGTAATTTATCCATAATAGAGAGTGTGTGAGAAGTGTATGGTAATTATTATTATTATCTTTCCGCCCACGGGTTTTGTTTAAGGCTGGCCTGACACACCTACCTAGGCAATTTATTCGTTTTGAGTCGGGATACAAGAAGGTGTTAAATTAGAGCAAGTACTGTAAAATGCAAAAGGCGAAGGAACTAGGGCATGGAATAATAATAATATATCTCACACATCTCACACACGGCCGTCTGATCCCAACCTAGGCAGAGCCTGTACTATGGTAGCCAGCCTGCTGATAAACATACTTATACATTTTGAAATACATACATATTATATAAATATAATATCTCAAGTATCGGATGCTAAATGAGTTTGAAACTACAGTATAACGAAAAAGCCGGGATCGCGTTTCTATCTATCTGTTATCTATACTGTCCTGGTATTGAAGGCTACTAGTACAGGGATATCAATGGCCTATTCATTACGTGATATAAGGAACTGTAATACATATAAGACGTAATGAATAGCGTAGTGGTTTAAGCGGTCACTTCCTACTGCGCAGTGTTGTGGTTTCGATAACCACATGGAACAACACTTTGTGTGATCCACAAATTGTTGTTCTGAAGCTGGGTGTTCTTTGGGTATAATTTGAATTAATGTTTGTAAAGTCACACAGGATGTACTCCTAGTGTGGGAGTTGTCTATTAAAAAGAAAAATGAACAGAAATAAATCATATGTGTTTATTTTGAGTTCATTTAGCTCCTAAAGACATCGACGTTATTCGTGTTGTAGATATCATAGTAAAGTAATTAACGCAACGTAAACGATTAGTGAGTAATTGTTGTTCGTTACCACTCACTACACACTAATGATCGCTATGTGGGACTTTCTCTTGCATTTATGCTTCCCTGGTAGATATTAATTGCTAAGTGACAATATTGCCAATACTTTTATTATAAATAAAAACCTTTGGGTTTTCAATAGACTTGCAACGAATATTCGGTTACTATTCGGTATTCGGCCTATTCGGCTGCTTTTATTATATTCGGCCGAATACCGAATATCTACATATTATTCGGCCGAATACCGAATACTTAAATAATATATTTTGTCATAGAGAAATAATTGGTAAAATGAAAAATTAAAATCGATTGATTACGTATATATTCATATTTTCATTTCTGTTATAATCATTTAAGTAGTCATTGGTGCATAACACAGGTACATAATCATCTTCTGAATTGGAAAAATGGAGGATTCTACCTATGCATTTGAATTATTGTGGTAATCAAAATTTAGAAGGGTAAGGTTCTCATTTCTTTTATAATCATTTATTAAGTAGTCATTGGTACATAAAACAGGTACATAATTTAATCATTTTCTGTATTAAGCAAGTTAAGAATTTTTCTATGCATTTGAATTATTTTCATAATCAAAATTTAGAAGGGGAAGGTTATGGTGCTGAAAGACTAACTTTTCTGCATTTTTAGGAAGTAGTTTACTTCTTTTTTTCTCGTAGACCATCCCAACTTCAGAAAAAAGGCGCTCTGAATAAACACTACTTCCTGGCGCCGACAAATATTTTGCTGCAATCTTAATCAAACACGGAAATTCAAATTTCCTTACTTGCCACCATGTATACGGGTTGTCATGACGTGATATATGACTAATATTTAAGAAAAGATCCATTTCTGTTGAAACTGCATTTTTTCTGTTGATGTGTTTCCAGAAGCTGTGCTTTTTTCTGCTATCAGCTCTTCGAAGCAATCCATAAAAGTTGAGTGAATAGTCTGACTTAGGCTTTGCTCTTCAGTTCTCATCCTCTTGGCCAAAGTAGGGGACGAACTCGCGCTATCGTCGCTTGTTTCTTCACAGCTCATTTTTATGCTATCGATTAATACATACTGCATCACTTTTTCTTTTTGCAGTTTGTGATATCCACTTATTATGTAGGGGTACTTATAATAAAACACCACACAATTATGTACATAGGCACCCAACTCCACAGCACGCCCGCCCACTCCGAGTGTCAGATCGGAAGTGAACGAATGGCGTTGCCGTTGGCTTGCGTCCTATATTTTATTATATAATGCTATACGTCACATCTCTTCCTTTTAATATAATTAATTTGATCTCTTAATTTTCTAAATCATAAATCACTATTCTAATTTACTAGATACACTTAACTTTGCTGGTAATAGATGACCGTAAATAAGTAAAACTATTCATCTTTATTAGATACATCTCCCTGATTAATAACTTTCCATTCGCCTTCTACTTTCTTCAGATGTACAATATTTCGCCTGTACTCCTGGCCAGTTTCATCGTTCCTTACGTTTATGTCACTTCCTTCAGCGCTTATTACGGTATGAGGTGTTGGATTGTAGTCTGGAGTTATTTTATTTTCTTTGACAAAGTTCTTTACATAGACTTTCTCGCCAATTCCTAATTCTCTGTCTGTAGCCTTTCTCTTTCTGTCTTCGATTAATTTAATTTTGTCTTTTGTTTCTTTATCCCGGTCTCTAACTTCTAAATCGTTATAATTGGTTTCAAGATCTGTTAAAAAGGGTAATTTATCTCTGAATTGCCTTCCATAGAATAGCTCCGATGGAGATTTACCTGTGGATGAATGCGGTGTACTATTGTACATTATTAGGTATTTTAACAAATCGTCTTTCCAGTCTGATTTCTCGCATTGACTGATTTTAAGTCTTTTAAGAATATCCCTGTTTTGTCTCTCAACCTCACCGTTTTGTTGAGGCCAGTAAGGGATCGTATTAAAGAGTGTAATTCCATGTTCACTACAAAATCCCTTGAATTCTTGACTACAAAATTGTCTGCCGTTGTCAGCCGTTATGCTAGCAGGACTCCCGGTACGTGAAAAAATTTTCTTTAACACTCTAATTGTATCTTGTGCAGATATTGTTTTCATGATCTCAATCTCTTTGTATCGACTGTAATAATCGATAATCACAAAAAGATAATCTCCACTAGGCAAGGGACCCAAAAAGTCAACAGCAGTATCCATCCAGGCTTTTGAAGGCAGTTCACGCCTTTTCATAGGTAATGGTGGATTAGGAGCCGAGACTAAGGTACACCCTCTGCAATTTTTTACAGTTTTTTCGGCGTCCTTGTCTATTTTCGGCCACCAGACCTTGGTACGTAACCTAGCCTTCATGTTGACTATACCTGGGTGGCCTTCATGGGCTGCTGCCAAAACTATACCCCTCAACTCAGTAGGAATTACTATCTTGGTACCTCTTAACAAAACGCCATCATGTAACCAGAGTTCATGTTGAAATAATTTGTAATAATTTACTGAATGATCCCAATTATCATTCAGTAACCCATCCTTAACCAATTTAAATTCCTTATCGTTATTCGATACATCAATAATTGTCTTAAGTGGTAATGCAATAGGTCGTGCATATTGCACAATCTGGTTGACATGATATTCGCCTCCAAGAGAACCTTCTTGTGAGTTGGTAGCCCTGCATAGACGGGATAATGGATCTGCTATGTTCGATTTGCCCGGTTTATATATTACTTTATAATCATATGTTTGTAATCGAAGGACCCAACGTTCGATTCGTGCACAAGGCTTTGATCGTATACCAAATATGACTTCTAGGGGTTTATGATCGGTGACAAGTTCGAACTTTTTCCCATATAAATATATATGGAAGTGCTCGATTGCCCAAACCAAGGCTAGAGCCTCTTTTTCGGTCTGGCAGTACCGTTTTTCTACGTCAGATAGACTTTTATTACCGAAAGCAATAATACGGGGCTCATTGTTATCGTACTGAATCAGTACAGCACCTAGTCCTACGGGACTCGCATCAGCGAATACTTGGGTACGATCTTTTGGGTCATAGTAGCCAAGGGTTGGAATCTTGGAGAGACAATCCTTTAATTTTGCAAAAGCTTCTGCTTGCGGATTATGCCAAAATGCTGTGATGTTAGCATTCTTATGCACTTTTTGCCTAAGTAACTGACGAATTGGTTCTGTCAAGGTGGACAAATTGGGAATCCATTTTCCAACGAAATTAATTAGCCCTAGAAAGCTTTGGATTTCTTCGATGGTTTCCGGTGATCTAAATGTCTCAATTGTTTTGATGTATTTGTCAAGTGGTTTAACGCCTGAAGCCGAGAGTTCGTGTCCCAGAAATTGAATAGATTTTCCGTTGAAAACACATTTACTTTTATTCAGTAAGACATTGTTGTCTCTAAGTACTGTTAAAACGTGCTCAAGCCTAGTCTGACTTTCCTTCATATCTCGTCCAAAAACAACGATGTCGTCTATAAAATTTACGACACCGTCACAAGGTAATAACATTTTTTCCATAATTTTTTGGAAATGTTCAGGTGCGCAAGAAATTCCAAACATTAGTCTTTTATACCTAAAAAGTCCTTTACTAGTTATAAATGTTGTAATTTCTCTGCTATTTTCTGACAATTCAACGTGATGGAAAGCATTTTTAATATCTAATTTAGAAAAAAAACTTGCTTTACAAAACTTAGGAATTAGTTGTTCCATGGTAGGCAAGGGATGATTCTCTCTTATAATGGCTTTATTAGCAATTCTCATATCTAAACAAATACGAATATCACCATCAGGCTTCAAAACTGGCACCATCGGAGAAACCCACGCAGAAGGCATATTTACCGGTTCAATTATATCCAATCGTACTAGTTCATCCAATTTTTTGTTTATTTTTGACTCCAAAGGAATCGGAACACGTCTGTAAGGTTGACAAACTGGGCGAACTGTTTTGTCAAACATGATTTCTAATTGAACGTCTTTGAATTTGGGGAATGGTGTTTGTTCGATAAAATTGACACCCAGACCCAATTTTAAAACTTTTAGAGAAATAGCCGTTTGCTTTCCTAAAAGGTTCCTTGATCCATTTTCAATAACATAAAATTTTGAAATTAATAAATTTGACCCCACCTTTATTGGAGCCTCAAATGAGCCTAGTACCTTTAATGGCTCTTTGGCACCATATGCCAGGAACGTTTTGTCGGAAAGCTTCTCTTGGTTAGAGACTCTAACTTGAGATTGCTTCATGTACTCCCAGGTTCGATCATTTATAATATTGGATTTACTACCAGAATCAATGAGCATTTGAATTTGAACTCCACCTACCTGACAGTCTATCATTGCATCGTCATCGATGTGGAAAATATAATCTACAGATGTAGATCCTTTGTTTTGGGAAGACTCAACTTTGGGTTTTTTATATTTATTGTTTGGTGGAAAGTTAGAACTTTTTCGTTTATTGGCCCTGGTTCGGCAGTGTTTCTGAAAATGGCCTTTAAATCCACATTTTATGCAATTAGCATTAACTGCAGGGCAAGTACTGCTATCACTTTTGTGATTTTTACTGCCACAACGGCAGCAGGAATCAACCTCCTCTCGTCTGGTGAATCGTTTTACGGTTTTATTGTCGATTTTGTTGATGCTGGTAGATGTTGCAGATTTGTTATGTCTGTCGTGGAACTCGCTCAATTGACGGTCTACCGTTTCTAACGTATTTGCCTCTGCTATTATTTTCGCTACGGTTGCGTTGTCACCAAGTACCAAAATGTTCTTTCTCAATTTAGTAGAACTACACTTTTCTGTTATTTGATCGATGAGGTTTTCGTCCTCATTAGTAAAATTGCACTTGGAACTCTGTCGTCTAAGACGAATCAAGAACTTTTCAAACTTTTCATCGGGTTCTTGTTTCATTAACCGAAATAAATGTCTTTCAAATAAATAGCTTTGTTTTGGGGAAAAATACTCATCTAATTTTTTAACTGCCGTGTCATAAACGTCAGTCGCAGTTACATGTGCACCGGGAATATTAAAATATATGTCTTGTAATATCATGCCACCGGAATGTAGTAATATAGCACGTTTTGTATTTTGGTCGTTGGTGTCAGTCGCTATAAAATATATTTCTAGAGCTCGTTTCCATCTCTCCCAACGAGAACCCAAAGATGTTGGATCGCCTTCACAATCGAATGGTTCTATTGTTGGTATTTGTAATTGGGACATATCGGATGATCTGCAATAGCGAAGAGGACGCTTTAATAATTATTTCTAGGTCTAATTTAAGTGATTGTACCAAATAAATATTGGTATTTATAACTTTAACTGAGCTCCAATTTATAATATGATATATATTGATAACACATAATATAATAAATACTATCAAAGACTGATTATAATTAATGACCATAAAATTAATATTTATTTAAATTAATAGTCGTTATCAATGACTGCTGAAGAGCGATCGGAATGTCATATAAAATTAAATCCATTACCCGCTTTAAGGCCCTTTAAAATTAGAGTATTATAAAATGTTTTATCAAATGTTTGTATTTATTTTAAATTTATATTTATTTTGTATTGAATATACTATTTAAGATAAGTTAAATAAATAAGATGTAGGTATATCGTAAAATAAGCATGTTTGTAGAATGTTAAACCAGGAATATACCTTGTTACCACTATGTGGGTATTGATTTATTATAAATCTTTGTTTCATATACCGACAGACAATGTTAGGCACATTAGCATCACTTATAATATTTTCATTTTAGTTTTAACGCTTTAAAGACGTTGGTACATACATAACTGGCGAATAAATTGGAGAGATGATTTATTCCAATAAAGTCTTTTGTTTGCATTTATTTGCCACCAGCTTCGGTCAACAATTCTCACTCAAACCCATAGTATATACAAACCCATTGTAAATATTTAGATCGAGATATAGCTACGATCTAAATTATAAACACTCGTAATACTGTCAACAGCAAGTTATGCTACATACATACTACGTCGATTACGGTTCAAGTAACATATTGCATTGTATTACAAGATATTTTATGCTATTATACTCCTACAAAATGCACATTTTACAGATGTTTCCTAACTCAACAGGTAGTGATTTACAAAACGGCTCTGTTTTCCCTTCTATCTTTTCTTTTTTTTTTTTTTTTTTTTTTTTGTTGACCGAATCTGAAGCAGGTACATATGAACATTTATTTTACTTACTGCGCGTTTACTCGTCGCCAATGTGATATCCACTTATTATGTAGGGGTACTTATAATAAAACACCACACAATTATGTACATAGGCACCCAACTCCACAGCACGCCCGCCCACTCCGAGTGTCAGATCGGAAGTGAACGAATGGCGTTGCCGTTGGCTTGCGTCCTATATTTTATTATATAATGCTATACGTCACACAGTTGATTGGTGAAAACATTCATTTTAAGTCTTGGATCGAGAAAGGTAGCAACCAAATGATTTTTATTGTTGTATGACGAGTATTGCCTGGCTTAATTAGGGTGTTAGCTCTTTTGACGTGCTCATTTTATTGTAATATCGCATTAAGGTAGCAACATAAGGAATAATTTCAGAAATGCAAGCGTAACCGGAACTTATAAGTTTTGTTATCTCCTCAAATGGTTGCAATAATTTTAAAAGATGCTCCAAAAGCTCCCATTGTGCAGCAGTCAAATTGGCAATATGACAGTCCGTCAGATAGACAGAAATGGCTCGTTTTTGTTGCATTAGCCTTTCGAGCATATAATATGTAGAGTTACAACGCGTGCTAACATCTTGGACTATGTTTCGTCCATTATCATGAATAACAATATAATTTTTTTCACGAATGTCCAACAAATTTGCAATTTCTTGTAAACTCATAGCTATATTCGTTGCTGTGTGTTGTCCCTCAAAATGCTTGATGCTCAATACTACATGTTTGAGGTTAAATTGGGGGTCAATAAAATGTGCAGTAAAACTTAAAAAACTGTTATGATTATGCAAGCACGTTCACATATCGGTCGTTACGGAAATATAATCTGTCTCTGAAAGTAAACTTTTATTTTCTCAACCACTTTACGATAAATTTCTGGAATCACATTTTCTGAAAAGTAAGGACGACTTGGTATATTGTACCGCGGCAAAGCGCTATTAATCAGTCTTCTAAAACCAGCCCTTTCTACTATATTTACTGCCTCATTATCAAGTGCGATCATTTCAGCAATTAACACATGGTACTATTTTGCCTTGGGGCCATTAATATCCCATAGTTTATTAATTTCTGCACATTTTTCTTCTTTCTTTCTCTTTCTTGTTAATTGTTTTTGTGACGTTGAAGGTTTATTACTTACATTCATATCTTGATTTGTAGTTTCTTGCCCCTTAGGGAACGTGGGTACCAACTTATGATAGTCTTCATTGTGTTTATTTTTTAAATGATTTAACATTCCCGATGTTGTCGCCTTTCTTCCAACGCCACCACGAGAAATTTTTATTTCGCACAGTTTACACACGGCACTTTTTAGATCATTTACATCATCCTCGAAGTATGCCCATATAGGCGGTTTTTTTTTAAAGGCCATAATCGATTTTTTTATTATTAAAGTACGTTCATAATTATTTAATTGTTTATTTGTTAAATTTCACACTATCACACTTACAAACAGATCAAAACTAAGAGAGCACAATAAACTGTACTTAACGTATAATGCTCGCAAATTGCTAATGCGCAGGAACTTTGTCACATTAAGAGCCACGTGACGTCATCCAAAATAGAAAAGTACAGCTTGCTAAAAAAGAAATGCAATTGTAAATTTAATAGGTTAATTATTAAGTTTGACAGATTTGAAATGACATTTATTGTAAGATTACATTTTACGTAAAAACTGATATTTGATGACATTTAATTAATCTCACACCTTGGAAATAGGTATCTATCTAAGAAATTAAAAATGTTTGTGTGATTTTCAATGTTTATTAGAAAAGATTTATTAGTAATATAACTATATTAATAATATAATTAGGTTAGATTATGATTCAATTTAATAAAAATCAATACAATTTAATATAAATTTAATAATTTAATAAACAAAAATGCGTAGGTACTCGACCCTCGCAATTCGCATTAGCCAGAATGATGCTAACGGTACAGAGTGTCTAATGTCAATATCAACAAAATACGTCACCAAAATGGCGACCAGGCGCATTAGCAATTTGCGGGGATAGTAATACGATATCCACGAAATGAACTTGTCGAAACATGCAGTGCGTTAGCAATATACCGCGCAGAGCAACAGCGGGCGCGCGGGCGAAACAATCACGTCTGTACAAGTTTTTGGCGCTAAAATCCAGCCGAATACTTTTGCCTAATATTCGGCCATTCGGTCAGGGGCCTCGCCGAATATTCGGTATTCGGTATACTGCCGAATATACTATTCGTTGCAAGTCTAGTTTTCAATTTCCCATAATAAATACCACGGGAATAAAACAAAATAAATGTTTCTGTTCCAGCTTGTACGATACTGCAATTTCCGTGATCAGAACCCACATCTTTGGCGTGATGTTGACTGGTTTGGCCTCACGAGACTGGGCAACCTAATCGAAGGAGTACTCTTCGACAGACCTGATGTCGGCAGACTTATTATTTGCAGACTTGGTAATTATTACAGAAAGACAGTCGGAATTTTACATACAGATATATACACACAAATCTAAGCACGTTCCTAAACCAGTATTAATTGTCCAAATATCTCATCTGCCTAAATGTCCATCCTCTTTCATCTTCAGATAATTATAAACTGTAATAAACAAAATAATAAAAATATCTTGACACATTTTACACCCAAACACACAACAAAAGATTGTGCTCATCACATAATTATTTGTCCTGGCTGGGAATCGAACAAACGACCTTTGGCCTAGCCATCAGGAGCACTAACCACTAAAGCAACAGACCAATCAAACCACATAACCTATAATCTTCACGCCTTATGTTCAAATTCTCAATTAATTTAATTATAATTTGTCTATCTATATTATAAATATCTATATTTACACGTAAAGAAGCGGTCGTAGAGTGGAGCCCGCTAAGGGGTACGGTACGGAAGAGAAGATGCCCTTCACGTGGATGGACGATCTGAAGGTTTTTTTTATTGAAGAGGGGCAAACGAGCAGACAGGGCTGATGAAAAGCGACTACCGGCGTCCATGAACGCCTGCAACTCAGGATTGACCTTTTGAGGCAAGAGTACGCTCTTTTCTTGGAGATTTTTGAGGTCGTGTGGGTCCGGAAATACCGCAGACGATAACTTATTCCATAGATTGGTTGTGCGAGGCCAAATATGTCTTGAAAAGCGCACAGTGGTGGAATGCCAATTAGCAAAGGGGTGGGGATGAAAATTTTGCCGTGTGGAACGATGGTAGAAAGATCCATGATAGCACTCTTCATGCTATATACGATGCAGAGTGAAGATACATGTCTACGTAACTCGGTATTTGAGAGTACTTTACAAATAAAGTTTAATTTTTGATAGGAGTATAATTATTGCTATAAGCAACCAGTATTAAAATATTCTTTAGTTGTTTTCTCCTCAGGAGTAAGGTTCTTGGAGTCAGAACTCCCTTATCTTTGATTTTGAGAGGGGCACTTAAAGGGTGGCAGAGCACTTATGATTCTTAAGTTTTCGTTGTCATGAGCGGCGGTTATCACTTACAATCAGGGCCTCAATTCTGCTATTTTATGTTCACGCCAAGCCAGTGTCATACCACTGACACGCTATTGAGATGCCATCGAGTGGCCATTGGCATCGGTATAAATATCGGTAGTTGAAAATATATTACGTTTTTTGAAGAAAAGTTTTGTTTATTTTTATTAACATTTCCTCAAAAAACGTAATATATTTTTAGGCAACTCAATGGCGTGTCAGTGGTCTGACAGTGGCTTGGCGTAAACATAAAATCAGGTTACCCGTCTGCTCGTTTTCCTATCTATAACATAAAAAAACACAATTATGTGAGCAAGGAATTAACAATTGAGCATCAAGCATCATCTTATTTAATTACTGATATTTAACCATCAGAGGTATAAATAAATTGTGTGTAAATAGCAATTAGGCGATGTTAACAGCGGAGATCTAGATATACTCGTAATTGTTTTGAAATCGATCTCACCTTAACCTTATGTAAAACTAGCTTCTGCCCACGACTTTGTCCTCGTTCTGATTGACATAGGATAGAATGAATCAAGATTATAGGAAAAGAAAATAAAAACTAAAGAGTATTTACTGTGAGTTTGAAAACGTTATTTATTTTGCACCGTTAGAGGTGGAATCTTTTTAAAAATCCCTTCTTAGTGCCTAAGGAACATTTGTGTAAAATTTCATACTTCTAGACCCAGCGGTTTCAGCTGTGCGTTGATCGATCAGTCAGTGAATCAGTCTGTCAGTTTCTTCTTTTATATGTAGATTGTAGCTAGCTCTCAGCGCTGAGCTAAGGTGTCATTCATTTGACTCATCCTTTTGTGTTTTGTACAACATGCACATACTAAACTCCTATAAGCAAATACCGCAACTATAATATTCTGTTTTAACTAATATAGTTAATTAATTCAAATAACTAATATACACGTTTACACACGCACCCACGCATCCGCTCGCACACACACACCCGCTCGCACACACACACCCGCTGACATACACACACACGCATACACAAACTACAACGCGCGCACAGAACTGGATACTTAAAATTAACCAGGTAACTTCCTATGTTTAGGCTTTCTTTTTTTGTTTTCTTTGTGTCTTTTTTTTATTGTATTGCTTCATACCTATGACACTGGGTCCTTTATAATACGTGCGGAAGACACTGTCTCCTGCAACACAGTTTAAACTAGCGCAGGAGTCAGGGGCTTCTCAGTCATATGTGTGTCAACTTATATGTCAATAAATTATTATTATTATTCCATGGGCATAACAATCTTCAAGCCTTAAAAAAAGAGCGCAGGTGATCCTTTCTCAAAGGCCTATTGATTCTTGAGATGTAGGTGTCCATGGAAGGCATTGGTCACTTATCATCAATGAAGGCATCAATTCTGCTATTTCAACATTGTATCAATAGACTGTCGATAGAATGTCCTCGGAATAGTTTTGCACTTTTCTTATTCTACTAACTATGTAAGATCAATGACTTGTCATTGATACAAACATGGCCGATGTCTTTTTAATAGTTTGGTAAACGGTACATTTTAAATTTGTAAGAAAATGGTATATTTAATTTTCATGATTGTGATATCAACATTGCCCGTTGTTGATATCACCCTTGATGACATATATTACTATATCGACAGTCTATTGACACTGTGAATTTATGTTAGTAGAATACCGATATTTTGAACGATGTCAGTGGCATCCCAATGGCATCTCAATAGCGTGTCAATGGAATGACAGTGGCTTGGCGTTAACATAAAATAGCAGAATTGAAGCCCAGGTGACTCGCCTGCTCATTTGCCGCATGTAACATGAAAAAGAAATTAAATTATAGGTACCTTTAAAAAATAATGTTATCAATCTCAAATATATATATTTCAGGACTATGGGATCCCGACGAGTTCTCAATCGACGACCTACTTAGAGGGTGCTTGCTGATGCTGGAGGTTGGCATCCTGCAACCGAAGTTACAAGTCCTAGGTGGAAATGTCCTGTTAGACTGTCATGGTCTGACTCTGAAACACATAAGGCAATTCTCACCAGCGGTCGCATTACAAATAATTAATATAATGGGGGTATATTTTGTTTTTTGTTTGTTTTCTATGATTTTATTGCGGCCTTTTAAGTTTTTGTTACACATTGTGTTATATTATTTACTCAGGTCATGTAGAAATCTCTAAGGAGAATTGTTATAGAAAGAACGACTGAATAGAGATTCCCTCCTTTTTTATGATTTATTAAAAAAGGAAGATTAAATGAGTTAAAGAGATTAATAAAACAATAGCAAATTCTTAGTCGTTGAATTTGGTTAGTTGTGGATTAATGTATGTACTTATATAAATGTATGGGAATATTACCGTTTTATGCAATTTACTCTGATAATCAATCTTTCGGTAGTGTAATTTTCATATTCAGACTTCAACCATTTTTTGAAGGAGATCTCTTCATCGTTTAAAATATATAGCATATTTTTCATTATTAAACACTCACCCTAAAACGCCTGTCAGATTACTAATAGCAATCTGAATTTAGGCATCTGTCTTCAAGAAAAAAATTGACAGTAAGGAAAACTTGCTTTATTATTTTAAATATAACACACAACATTGGAAACATTTATGGGTGTTCTGTAAATGTTTTCGCAGTGATATGATAACAAAACAAATTCTAAATGTACCAGTCCACAAGCAGTTTAAATTACCAACACAGTCTCATCTTTGTCAAAGAATCTTTAGACAACAACAAAAAATTGTGCAAGCAAAACGTAACACAGTGATATTTGAAAGCACACCATAATGTTTTGACGCTTTGTTTTTGTTCAAATCTTGAATAAGATATTATAGAATAGTAGGCCAAAACCTTCTTTCTAAGGAGAGGCCTATGTCCAGCAGTGGACTATTAAAGGCTATTGATGACGTGATGATGATGATAGAATAGTAGGGAGTTTCTTCATGGAAGAGGAGAGTTGTCATAAGCCACAAGTCAGAGAGTGTGTTTGGACCGTACGCTTGTTTCCGAAAGTGTAAAAAGTACACCAATTAGCAGTTAATAGGACTATTAATGTTTCTTTTCTAGTTTGCGTTCCCAACCCACCAGCGAGGAGTCCACGTGATCAATTGTTCCAGAGTGTTCGAGACATTGTTTCACTTCTTCAAACGTCTGGCGCCGGTGGACGAACTTTGGAAGAAAGTACACTTTCACGGCAACGATCTTAATTCTTTGTATAGGTAAGACATTTTTTCTTACTTCAAAAGTTTCTTATTAAAACATTTCAAAAATTCTTTCAAACTATTTTTTATGAAACGGTCATAAACAATCAGTACAAATACACAACATATGGGTTGAAAAAAAACTTTATTTGATGTGTTTTTTTACTCTTTAACATGGATGCACCGCGTTTTACTTAGAGTTAATTTAGCCCTGAGTGAACTTTGATAAATTATTACTTATGATAAATATTTTTTATAGTAGAGTATTTTTTTGCCTTTATTTCGAAGTTACAGTGTCTCAGTCAAATTCACACATACTTATAAGTTAGAATCCACAGTATACAATAACATTTGAACAGTAAAGAAAGAAAGAAAGAAGAAGTTTATTTTAATGACATTGCAACACAATCACAATATTATTTTACAGAATCAGAACATATATAGTATTGTAACACGTAACGAATTAGTTTATAATATAGTATTAACCCCAGTAATAATTAACATATTTGTAAATAAAATTATAACAATTTATATAAATTTCTATATATTCTTACACAACACAAAAACATAGTACTTATACATAAGATATTTACTGTACAATTGCGTAGCAGAGTTCATTGAAAGGAGATGTTACTCAACATAATGCTGAAAAAATTTCGATACAGCGCTGATTTTCAGCAACACCTCGATGTGCGTCTAAAACAGTTTAAATGTTTAAAGAACAATGGCAGAAACATATTTACCTAAAACTTAAGCGTTTAAAAAATCGAGTCACAATAAACTTAATCAATTTTTTTTCTATGATTTATCATTACACCACCATGTGTTGTATAAGTCTTATAAGAGATAAGATATTTTTGAAGATTTTATTTGACCTAAGTGCGTAATGTCAGATTCGCCATCACGTATAACTGACTAGGGATGCGTGGTGGCAATATTATATTATGGAACAATTTATCGATAATCGATTCTTATAGCTTTGGCTGAAATATTTACCGAAGGTTCACTATTATGATTATGAATTTGCTTCTGCCCACGTCTTCACTCGTACGGTAGAGTGACTGAATCAACATAATAGAAATGATTTAAAATATTTTTGACTCTCTTTAAACGATTTTAAACACACTAAAGAAATAGAATATAGTTACGTTATTTTCCACTACACAGTGTGATGAGAAAAATAAATTGTCATTGATAACGGCACATAAATAGACATACATCGATATTTTCAAAATGTCGATACGTCGTCGTTTAGTACATATCTCTTAATCTGTGGTTTAGATCCTGTCAAGTTCCGGACTCACCACGTTTGTTATTTTATTTTTGTTTAATTTAGTGTTAAACTCGAATAGATGTTATGCTTTTTTTTTTTTTTATTTCATATACTGTAATAATAATGAAAATAATATTTTCGGCTATCTGACACACAACGCCATCTAGTTTCCAACAAAACATTAACAATATGTTAGTACTTAACCTCGAAACATTCAAAATCCAATATCTTTTTTCCTAGACTTCTTTCGCAAGTAATTTTGATATGAGAATGGTCAAGAATAAATTCTCAAGTGTTAAGGATTTTTTGATATTTAAACGCTAACATTTCAGTTCAAATAAAATTATGTATGGGGACCTGCCATTGTCCTTTATGTTTCGAAATAATATTGGTAAACGGCATGAAGTTTTTGAAAAAAAAAGCCGTGTGGTGTCGTGGGACATCCGATTGGAACGAAGTTGTGACGATCGAGTAAAACTGATTCGACACGATTTTAATTACAACGCCATCTATGAAAGCGGCTATTACCTACATATTTTTCAGTTGGTTTCTAATTAAAACAATTTATAAATTGGTAAAATCTCTTTGAGAAATGATGTCGAATACAATATTTTTTGCTCAACCTAAGAACATAATTTTAATTTTACTGAGATGAAAAGTAATGATTTCCTATCTATTTGATAGATGGCGCTAAATGACTGACAAGTGACAATTCAAAATAAAAAGTGTCGTTACAACTTTTCGTGAGATTTTTTTCCGTCTAGCCTCCTTTCACAACGCGCGATAAGGAACTTCGTTCCAAAAGTATTTATAGAGTATCGCAGACAATTGTCGCAAATAATTGTTGTATACGAAAAATAAATATACATGTCAATAAAGAGTCAATTACTTGGCGATTTTAAATATAGGTATAAGCATATTTTAGTATAGGTATAAGCATTGATAATCTTCCTGATAAATCAATTAATCTAAGCGCATTGGTATCATTAATTCAACCTCCTTTCTAAGGAGGGACCTATGTTCAGCAGTGGGCAATTAAAGGCTATGATGATGATAATAATGTAGTGTATTCCTACTTATTTCGTATTTCTGCAAAGATATTAGAATAATTAATTTATTTTTGAAGTTGAGATGGAGATATAAGTTAGTGAAGATAGAAAGAGAGAGAGAGTTACGTTTCGTATATCTTAGACACAGTGCAGGCCTATATGTATATACATGTATACATATACATATATACATATATAAACATATTTATATACATACATACGGATGGAGCTCATTGCTCAAGAAGTTTTACTTCAGTCGTGTGGTCTAAAGCACACTCTGTTTTTTATACCCGCTTAAATATTTTTATGCGTAAGTTGGCTAGCACGACCGCCTAAACCTAAACGAACGACGCATTGTCTCGCATCGGAAGCTGCTTGTGCGCATTATGTAGGCAGCGAATTTGTTAGCCAATAATTTCAATGTTTATCATACGTGAATCATTATGTAACTAAAAGCGATGACTGACAATCAAATGAAGTCACAAGAAAAAAATAAAAAAGTTTTCATAGAGCCTGATTCAAAGGTCAAGATCAAATCTAAGTCTGTCGTGAACTCCTGACTATGTTCAAAGCACTGTGGGCATTTTTTAATATATATTTTTATTTTATTTTACAGACTCATAGATCCAGAATGTTTACCGAAGCGCTATGGTGGCCAACGTGTGGAAGTATCTTTAGCTCAGTGGTTGACTAAAATCAAAAAGTATAAAAACAAAGATTTTGATAACGACATGAGAAGCTTGGGATATGCTGCGGATTAGTTGATCTTTCATTGTTGTGATTTATCTTAAGTCGAGTGAGTGGTCTCTCAATTAAAAGCTATCACAAAGGATTTGGGTAATTACATATACCAACGATTTCGAGCAGCAATGGCCCCCGACTTGAAATTGTACTCAGAAGGATATTTTCTTTCTTTTTCTATTACTATTTTGCAAACGGAAACTCTAAAAGACTATACAATAATAAATTATCAATTTCTCTTATGCATCTAAATAGATTATTAATAATTCTCATATTTTTATATTATACAACTATTGACTTTAAATGAAGAAGTTCCAAACAGGGAATAAAGTTTAACAAACAATATGAATAATTATTTAATTTCAATTTGTGCTCATATTGATATGACGAGACGCATTCTTGGAAATACTGGACCGGATTTCAAAAAATAATAAATACATTACCTACACATTTAAATGTAAACCTATTCTCCGGTACTGGTACCCGAGACGTCGCATAGAGGACCGGACTTGAAAAATAGTGGACTTAAAAACATAAAAGTCGTAAAACTAGCCATGAAACCATATGTGAATTATTGTTTTTTTTGTATTCTTTTATAACATAAACTGCACATAAACTGCACGGATGGTGTAGTGGTTTAGGCGGTCACCTCGCGGCTTTCTACTACGCTGAGTGTTGTAGGTCCGATCCCCACATGGAATGACACTTTGTGTAACCCACAAATTGTTGTTCTGAGTCTGATTTATTCCTAATGCGGGAGTTGTCTAAAAAATAAAATAAAAAAAAAAACAAAAACTTTTGCATAAATTTGCCGCTTTGGGGTTTATACGCGGTTGACCTTCTAAAATTTCAATTTCAATTATTTTATGAATGTGTAATTTATAAGGGGTGCCAAGGGAGCCTATCAACATCTCCGGACTCCAAGTCATCCTCCCCTGCACGCACTGCACCTGCGATGAACGAGTCTCTGGTAAATACACCCAAAGTGCCCCGGAAACGGCAATAGGGGGCTATTTTAGTCCTAAATTATTATATAATTCTTAGTCCTAAAAAATCCTAACTATTATAAAGCCCTAGTATAATATCTTCATTATTTTGTGATCTTCCTGTTCTCCTAATGCGACACTTTCTTGTTCTTTTGTGCCCTATACTATTAAAAAGGCACGGACGATAATAATACAGTTTTATTTTATGTTTCTCCTAAAATGCGACCATTAACAGACCTACCTAACCGTGTGACACCATTTTATTCAAGATCAAACTGATACGGTCGCAGTAACATTACTTGCCAAGTTCTCTAAGTGTTTACACCGTGTAAAGCCTTTCACTTTATAAACATGAGTCTTATCGTCGACCGGAATTTAAGATGGTAGGAAAAAAACTAAATTGGGTTCGAGAATTTTCTTAAGAGGTTAATGATCTCGAGCCCCAAGAATTATGTTTTACATTCCGTAGCAGCTGCTACTAATTAAGACAAATAGTTATGATTTAGTGTCCACTGTCAACTTGTTTAACGAGAAGGGAATCATAAAATTAAAAAGCTTGGAATACTAGCATTAAAAACACAACGTTAAATTAAATTAGTGTAATTGAAGGTGTAATTTTCTGGGTCATATACACGGCGTTGATGGCCCGAGGTACTTCGGTGTACCGGGTATTCAGTTTCTAAGCTACACCTGGTTCCCCGGCAACATGTACCCGAGACGGGTTTCGGTCGGTTTTTCTGTCCGACAAAACATAACCACCCCACGCACAGAAAAAAAAAGAATTCCTGTACATAAAACAATGTTGATATATATTTTTACACATCAATACTTATATTATAAATGTGAAAATCAGTATGTTTGTTAGTTACACTTTCACGCCTAAACCACTGAACCGATTTTAAAAATTCTTTCATCAATTGAAAGGTACCTACATTATCAGCGAGTAACATGGCTACTTTATACTTCGATAACCGACATACACGCGGGTGGAGCCACGGGCAAAAGCTGGTTTATAGTATAACATGATTATAATAAATTATATTCTACCAGCTCTACCCTTCCATGCTTCGCTGTGGTACATTGTGGTGACAAAAAATAAATAATACCCATCCTTGAAGCGTGTTTTATAACATGTTAACATTTTGAGCTTAATCAGTGCAGATTTTTTTTGAGTTTTTGAAGCGCACACAAACAAACTTATCATATATTATTTTTTGTGATTCTAACATCATTTTTAAAGCATCCATCAGGTGATAAATCCGAATTCGCTTTGTCTTTGGGTTTGACTTCTCTCATATAAAGTAATTTTTCTCATCTAATATCGTTCTCTGTTTCCCTAGTAATGTTGCGTGCAAAATTTCATAACTATCAGAAATAATTTTACAGCGCACAAAATATTATCCAAACAAATAAACAGTTTTAATGTTTTTTTTACAAAAACATAATAATTTCAACCGACGATTGTGTGACGTCGCTTAATGTCTACTTCGATGTAAACTTGAATGATAAAAGAAGTCATTAACCTTTTAGTGACATAAATAATTTTTATTGCATTTATAAGCTATCTCGCAGATCAAAACAGTGTTTATGATTGAAATCGAGTTTAAATTTAAGTGTCGGCTGAAAATACTTCAAAAAAAAAGAAGTTAAGTTAGTGAAATTGATTTTACAAAGTGTTTTGTTGCAAGGGTACCTAAGCTTATTTGTGTACTTTATCGACTGGAGTGGTACCACGATATTGGCACGTAAAAACGACTCAAAGTCACCACTTACAGAACTCTCACATTATTTTATCGTCGGATAAACAAGGCTGTTAAGAAATAAAATTCACAACATAGAAAAATACATTGCAGAATAACCTATTTCAACTCATGTGCTCCTGGTAGTAGGACTATTGTGCGTACTACTTTTCACCTTGTCCACACAACCGTACTTGCGCAATAGTTTACCTACCTGTAACGACCACGCAACTACAATGGCGTCTGTAGATTGAACGATAAAAACCCCTTTTTATCTGTGATAAAGTATGTGCTTGCGTACAAACATTAAAATAAAGATAACAATAATATCTTTATTTGGAAATAAAAACAATTTTACACAGTACATTTGAAAACGATGATATCCGCAGTAATATTAAAAATGTGTCGCAGATATCAACGCCCTCAAGAAATCCAAATATTATTTAAACCAAGAAATATAAAAAAAAAAACATAAAACCCAATTAAAACCATGCAAAGCCAAAAAGAGTTTTAAAGAAACTTATTAAAGAAACTGATCAACACTCTAAGGCCCCATCCGCACAGCAATATTTCACCGCGCGTTTTTTTCGCAAAATTCTGACACACATTGGATCTATATTCAACTATCCGCGCTGGCTGAAAAAACTCTCGCTAACAAATAAATCAGTGATTTGATACAAAATGAACGCGATGCGGTGGCGTTTTTTTTCCACAGAATCTTGCGAAAAAAAACACGCAGTGAAATATCGCTGTGCGGACGAGCCCTAACCTGTTCATGGTACATTTTGAATAGAGGCCTTAGGGAAACAATGGTTTGAGTATTCAAAGTCATGACAGTAGGTTACTATAAAAATGACTCGACAATGAAGCGATTGACGAGGCGAGGACGTACTTGAACGGTCCACTCAACATGTACTCAAAGGTTATGTTACCCTGGTACTATCGAAGTATATTACGAAGTTTTAGGAGTGAAGTGACATGAAACAAAATAATGTGTTTTGTACACGTATGGAACGTTTGTAGAAACTTTTTTTCCTGCCTGCTTTGTTCGCATTTTTTCGGGAAAAAAAGTAATCTATTCCAGACTCTAAACTATCCAGAATTTCATCTATCGTTAAGCCATTCTAGTGTGATTGAGAACAAACATTAAGAAACATTAAAGAAACTATTGATCACTCGAACTGGTAATTTTTTTTAAATAAAATAGAAAAATAATAACAGTACTTAATGTTTAAGTTATTTGGTTGGCATTTCATATATTTGTAGAACAGATAAAAACTGTAAACTATGATTTATTTTCCACCAGGCAATCAGGAAAAAAATCACAGTTTACAGTAAACACCAGGTTATCAGAACAAAATCCCCTATTCAATTAGCAAGGTATGTTAAACACCCACACTATACCTTTTTAATGTAATTGTTTAGGGTTTCTTTCAGTTTTTCTGAAAACGGATTTTAATAACGTCTGTTTAGAAATGTCCTAACTCCTTTAGCAAAGTTTTATGAGAAGCAGGCTCAGGTTGTATGCTTGTTTGCGACATATAGTACAAAAAATATTGGTTACTTTTTATCAGTTACGTGGCGTTTAAAGTGTGCTTTCGCAAAAAGTGAACTGCAGTTTGTAACGTGCCTTTTACTTCGTGCTTTTTGTTCGATTTCGTACCCGACATAGTTATAACCTACTTTAGCTGCCATTGCAAAGCAGTACTTTTACTTTACTTGTAATTTTTAATTGTATTTAGCCATCGATGTAGCGATCGATAATCTTACCACACCACCACATACTCCTTCCTAGCTGCTGCACTTTTTATACCACCTTACAAATTACGAAACTCGCGGTCAGTTTCTAAGTGAAAGGAAAATGGTTCACAAACTGAGAAGAAAAATGTTCATAATAGTGTCCTTTATAAATCCTTTTAAAAAAAATATATATATATATATTTATTTGTCAGAATATTGTTGAGGTATTAGACTTAATATGACATACATAATATTCTGCTGTTTCCAGCGTACAAATATTACCAGGAAAGATTAGTAAATACAATGTCAATAATTATTAAATACAATGTCAAAAAAGATTAAATTAAATGTCAAGGATTATTAAATATACTTGAGGATTATAAAATAAAATGTAAAAAAATATTCAAAGCAATGTTATAGGTATTAAATTGAATTGAATTATTGAGAATATAAAGGCAAGTCGTCGTCTAATTTATAATTTGAATCAATTTTTTCTTTTAAAAAGTCATTTGTTGAGTAGTAACATTTATATAAGCAGCAATTACGGTTGATTTG